CATGGTTGGGAATGGAGGAGATTATGCTAAGTGAAATAAGTCAAGCAGAGAAGGTCAATTATCATATGGTTTCACTCATATGTGGAATAAAGGAAACAGCACAGAGGACCATAAGGGAAGGGAGGGAAAAATGAAATAAGATGAAATCAGGGAGAAAAACCATGAGAGACTATTAACTCTAGGAAACAAACTGAAGGTTGCTGGATGGGAGGTGGCTGGGGGATGGGGTAACTTGGTGTTGGGCATGCGATGTGATGAGCACTTGGTGTTATACCCAACTGATGAATTATTGAACTCTACTTCTGAAAATTATGATGTCCTACATGCTGGCTAATCGATTTAAATTAAAAAGAAATAAAAATAGATTTAAACAATGAAAAAAATAAATTAAAAACAAAGAATTAGGACAGGCAGTCCTGGGAGAGGGGCTGAGCCAGGGACAAAGCAGAGGCAGTGACAGCTGCAAGAAGGGGTGGCGGCAAAGGCAGATGACAAGAGGGTCCGAACTGAGGATGACGTTGCCAGACTTCAAACCTCTGCACAGACAAGGGCTGTCTGCCCCGTTTTCATACTGACCCTGAGAGTATGAGGTTATCCAGCTGTTCATGGTCCCTCATTCCCAGAAGGAAACCCTAAACCACTTAAATGCTAGGAGTACAAGTGATGGGGAGGAAGTCCGGTGCTGCCTCTGGTTTCCATACTGCCAGGGACACACCACCCTCAAGGGCCTTTCCTTCCAGAATGTTCCCCTCCTTGCCCTGGGGGACTCTTCTCTGGACAATTCCACACAGGTGCCAATTATGGGCGTGGCTCATGGATTCCCCAGGACCCCATCATCTCTTCTCAATAACAGGGAAAGTGGATTCTCCCGCTTCTTCTCCAGTGAGCGGCTCATCATCAACATCCCTGCTCAACAACTGCTGTTCCCTCTAGAATCAGGAAGCCTATTTCTGCGGCCAGCAGCAGCTACTGTGGATCTGCTACCAGCCCAAGACTCAAGTCCTTGCCTTGTCTAGACCCTGGTGCAGGGCTCTCCAGGAACAGACACCGCCACTCTGCCTGAATCTCAATGCTTCTCAGACTGGGCTGGCTTCTTTGCCAAAGACATTGTATTCATTCCTCTGCTGACAAGCAAGGGGACTCCCACCCCATGTCCTGTTCCTGAGGGAAGGACCTGGCTCTGACCTCAGGCACCCATTCTCAAAATCAACAGTCATGCCATTAGCTCTGTCTTTCACCCCTCCCACTGCCATTTCAAACCCTGAGCATCCAGAGTAGAAACAACAGACCAACTGATCATCTGGAAACTGAAGGGCTGAATATCAGTGCCAGAGACTCAGACATGAAGGTAGGAAAATGGTCTTACAGATGTGGGGCACATTCTAGAATACCAAATGAGGTTTGGGGACTCATCCTAGAATATTTTTACAACAGATTTGTCTTCTGGATGCTTCGGGGGAATTACGGGGGGATGTGTATGTGTACGTATGTGTCTGAGTAAGTATTTGGGAATGCATGCCTCCATGGAGGACAGGTGTTGTTTGTGTGATTTTATTATTGTGCCTGTTTTCAGGGTTTGGCGTGTTTGGAGAGGAACTGTTCAGGGCTTGCCTGGCTGCACGGGTGTGTGTCTACGTGATCACAGAATTAGAAAATTGGACTTTTTAGAACATCTCTAGCGCCATTGGGCCATAAGCCTGAATGTCAGCTCTTGCCTGTATTCATCTCCAGGATGACCCCAATGCTCTACAATTATCTAGAAAGCAAGATCAGGATTTGTATGTACATTTATCCTCCACAGCCTCTAGCATAGTAGAGCCTGGCTTAAGTATATATACATATATATAAAGCAAGGTTCTTGGAATTAGTGAGATTTGGGTTGAAATCTTGATAAGCATTTACAAACAGTGTGACCTTGGGCAAGTTATTTAACCTCAACTGCCTGCCTATCTTATTCTTAAAATAGGAGCATTGCCTCACTTTCAGGTGAATAAAGACCAGAGTTAATAAATGAAAAGAGACATAAACACACACACCGGTTCTGTCAATAACTGGTGTAGGAGCTCTCTGCAAACCTCCCCTGACATGTGAAATACGGATGATAAGAGTGAGCATTTACTAAACACCTACTCTGTGCCAGGCACTGTTCCAAGAGCTTTATGTGCTTAACCCACTTAACCAATTCCACTTTCAAGCGAGGAAACTGACCACAGAGAGGTTAAGCCACATGCCCCGGGTTGTTCAGCTGGGAAATGGCAGCGCCAAGACTGGAACTCATGCAGTCTGATGCCCCAACCCTTGTTCTTAGTCACCCCATGAACACCTGTTCTGCTTAATGAGCATAAACTGAACCATATAAGCATGATGTTTTCTGGGGGGAAAAGAGATTTTCCTGAAAAATAAAAAAATAGGGGATTGTGATTTTTATTTTTTTAAAAGATTTTATTTATTTATTTGACAGAGACAGACACAGTGAGAGAGGGAGCACAAGCAGGGACAGTGAGAGAGGAAGAAGCAGGCTTCCCACCAAGCAAGGAGCCCAATGTGGGGCTCGATCCCAGGACCCTAGGATCATGACCTGAGCCGAAGGCAGACGCTTAACCAACTAAGCCACCCAGGCGCCCAGGGGATTATGATTTTTAAACTCAGAATAGTGAATATGAAGTTTATCTATTTCCTGATACCTGCCAGGAAAGGTGAAGTAGCAAGATTTCGCTGTAATATTGTCATCACATCAACCATATGGTTTCTGTACCATTAGGAAATGTGACTCAGCATCACTCTTCTGGGGTAAAAGGCTTCTGTGTCGGGCCCCCTTTTCCTTCAAATGACAAATATTCTTTTTGCAATGAGAGCCGGGGGATAATCCAGGAGCCCTGGAGGTTATCTAGTTCAGATGACTCCTCTTACACATGGAAGCACAGAGGCAAAGGGAAATGCAGTTACTTCTCCATATCAAATAATCCACCTGGCCAAAGGCAGTTATGCTAGGTAGGACCCAGGGCTCCTGGCTTCTAGCTTGGTGTTCTGACAGATGACTCTGGGTTTCAAGGCCCATAGATCATGATCATCACACTAGGGAGAAGCAGAAGGGGCATGGACATTGGTGGCGCCTAGAAGAAAGATTCCCCACAGATTGACACTCAGTAGTCAGCTAATGGTTGTATTCACAGAAGTAGAGCCCCTGAAACAAAGAAGGTGATATAGTTCTAATCTACCAAGTGTTGGTTCTACCAAGCCTAGGGTATTACATTTATTCTTAGGCACTACACACTTTGGAAGAAGGGGAGGGAGGCTCAGGGGGAAATCTGTCTTCAAATATCTGAAGGACTGTTTTATGGGAGGAAGATCAGATTTCTACTCTGGCCCCCAGGAGTACAATCAGAACCCGGGAAGCAGCCGAAAAGGCACTGATTTGGAAAGGAGACAAGCCTGACCACAAGTCCCACAGGGCCACTCACTAGCTGTGACCTTGGGCAATCTCCCCTTTCCGAGTCTAAGTTTGTTCTTCTACAAACTGGAGATCCTTTCTCCCCCAGAGAGTCTGCTAAATACATCAGCTAAGCTATACTAAGGTAGGGCTAGCTTCCCAAAGTCAGGGCTCAGGTCTGTGAACGAGAGAGCGAGGTGCGCTCCCACCCTGCCCCCTTGCTCCCGTGCGCCCCTCGCTCCCATTCAGTTCCCCGCCCGCCACGCCCCGAGCTCCCGGGCTCTCCTTCGCTTGCAGGGGTAAAGTCACCCTTTCGCTCCGTGTCCTTGCAAACGCTCGGAGTTTCCTCCAAGGCCAACCGCAGCACCGAGGAGCGCTTCCTCCTGCTGGGTTTCTCTGGCTGGACAGTGAGTGCGGGGGCTGGGGGGGGTGGAGAGAAAGTGTTAGCCCAGGGCCCACGGATGGGAGTGTCCATTGGGAAGGCAGCCTTAGCCTACCCATTTCCGTGTGAGAATCTGCAAGATTTGTCCTCAAGGAGTCCAAGGTCACTGGGGAGGTCCCATCCTCTGCTCAGGAAATGTTCCTGTGCTTGAGGGCAAATCCCTCTACCCTCCCTAAGTACAGGTTCAGGGAGGGGGAAGTGGCCTTCGGGCTTTCTCTTAAGCTGATGAAGAGAGAAGGCATGATTTACAGAGGACCTTCCCCATCCTCAGGGGTACTGTGACCACTCCTGAAGAGTCCATATGCTGGTAAGATCATGTATGACAGGACAGTTAACGTTCACTCTCTCCCAGTCTGATGGCACACACCATGAAGACCCCATGGTGTCTGGCTTTAGGAGTCCCCCAAATTAACAGAGGAATCATGGACTCTACCCTGCAGCAGACCCCATCCAAAAAAAGGAGCCACAGTTGCTCATCTCAGGAAATCAGTCCAACCCAATGCCCACCTAGCTAGGTCACTAGTGCCACCAAGAGCACTGGACCCCAAAGCGTAACAAGGAACTCCCCTAAGTGCGGATTGTGCTGGGTGGGTTAAGCTAGGGATCTCTTCTGCACAAGGTGGTTAAGAACAGAAGGGACTAGACATGTCTTAGATGGTGAGGAAAATGTGTTCGTGACCAGTCATGAGACCCAAGAGGGACAGTGAGACAGAGGAGTAAGGGGAGGAAGATGGAGGAAGGGACCCAAGTTCCCCAGACAGGAGCAGGCACCGAGGGGTGCAGGGGGCAGACAGGAAAGAGCTCTGTCAGCCAGAACCTGGGCAGAGCCTTGGGAGTCAACCCAGAGACCAACCCAAAGCCCCCACCCAAATGGTGCCCCCACCCCAGAGAAGACCTGCTAGACCCTAATGTAGGCAGGACACAGCCTGCTCCACAAGCACACCTCCCCCAAGGAGACCCCACTGGAGAACAAAATCTCTGAGTCCCCAGGGAAGGTATCTTTCCATGCCCACCATCATCCCCAGAAATAAGAACAGTTGAATTCAGTGTGGGGGCATAGAGAATAAGATGGCACACCGTGCTGGGATTCATTTCATACCAAACAACTTTAAATAAAGACAGAGAAGGTAGTTTAGTTGAATTTCTAGTCTTTGTTAATTAGATTATAATCATATCAGAGAAATTAACTAAAAATCATTTCACTGTTCTCTGTAAGCAGAAATTCAATTTGATTCAACATATTGAGTGATATTACAGATGAAATATATACTGGTGTAAACACAGAAATTAGGGGAACATGGATCCCAATGTAAAACTTACTATCTTGTTGGACAGAAGAAGAAATAGGAATTTTTCTAAAAATCAGAGGGAACCAAGAAAGGATTAAATTGCAAGCTGGCTTTGGTGCTATCTCTACTGTGCCTTAAAATGTTATTTTCTGTTTTCAGTAATATACACCATCCAGCCGCCTAATCAATTATGTTAGACCAAAAAATCATGGAGTTAGAAAGTTTTCTGCAGTCTTCCTCCCCACTTCACCGCTACTTTTCTCTATTTATCTTTCTCGTCAATTTGGGGAAATCATCAAAGGATATTGGTGGAGTAAGAGCTAACAGTAAGCTCTTTTGACCCTGATATTACCCATCCCTGGCGGGGTCACCCCCCAATGCAGTGGGCTGTCAGGAAGAGTAAATTGCCCCCTCTGATGCCATAATCCGCCATGGTCTTCCCATCTTCCAGCCTCTTGCCGTTGCAAGTCACAATCTGTTTCTCAGGCATGATAGCGGTCTTGGTCTCTATCATCTGTTTCACCTGGGCCACTGAGCTGGACCTTCGCACCTGGAGGAGGTGCCTCTGCCCCTCATCACCTAACTCCACCAGAAACAAGGGCAGCTCCTCATCACTGGGCTTCACCACCTTCAGAGTGAGGTGGATGGTCGTCTCCTTGTCAATGCCGTAAGATGACAGCTTCCTCTGGGGCTTTAGAGTCTTGGAGCCCATCAACAGGACCTGCTCTTGCACGGGAACCTTGGTCTTAGCCCGGACGTGTTCATTGATCTTCTTCACTCTGTCATTCACGTCAGCAGTGAAGGTCATTGATGTCCCTTCCTCAGAATAGACCTTCACCTGGACAATGAAGGCCAAGAGACCTCAAATCAAGGTGCCTGGAATGCCTGCCATCTTTTACACCACTGTCCCCTCCTTGCCCAGCCCCACCCTCCCCGCCTGCCTGGTCCTCCAGCTCCTTTACAAAAGTTGTGTCCCTCCCTTTCTTGGAACTTCTCTTTGGGAATTTCAAGCTTATAACACAGGAAAATCAGTCTTATTGCTTTACAACCATACCTCTCATTCATCCTAATGTCATTAGTGATTTCCCACATTATTTGCCTGCCTCCAATCTGGATAAAGTTTGTCAAATGTCAAAAACCAAATACAATTACAAAGCATCCCAAATTATATACCAGACTCTAAAAACAGTTCCTAAAGAGAATTCCCAAGACCTGTCAGCTTCATGGGATGCTCACACACTGCCCTCCATGACTACTTTAGAAGGAAACCCTGGCCAGGACACGTATTCTCTGTACTCCTGGTTTCTTTCTTAATGTCCCATGGCCTTGTAATAACACACATTACAGTGACACTGTGTTCAGTGTGACTCATCTCACAGACTTCCTGTGTTTTTATATCTACCTATTGCAGAATATGATCTCCTCCTGTTGCTAGACCAGGGCCTCACTCACAGAAGGTAGGGCGAGATCTAGGTCTTCCTTCCATAGTCTGAAGCTGGGCAAGCTCACCTCTGTGTTGTCACTGGAAAGCCTGGGAGGACTTCCCTCACGCTCCATTCAAAACCACCTTCCCAGTCTGGACGTCACAGACATTTCCTCACTGGACCGATGCCCCTCCATGCTAAGGACCACCTTGATGCCAGCCCATCTATAGTGCACACACTCTTTATAGGCTCGTGTATCAGGTCATTAACAACTTAGAGTAAATGAGTTTTGTGTGCCTCTCTTTGGGGAGGAGAAGGGAGTTGGAGAGCCAAGGGACCCCTAATCAGAAGAAGGAAAAAGGGCTCCAGACAATATTCCCATAGTTTCAAATCCAGCCCTGGGATTACAAAGTCCACGCCCACTTCCCACCATCCTCCCCTGACAGTGGCCAGTCGGGTCTGACACACAAGAGCATTCAGGAGCCAAATGAGCTGCTTCTGGTCCCAGAAGCTTCCTTCAGCTTCTGTAGCTATCAGAGCCTGTCTCAACCCCTGCAGGATGCCTTCCCAGCCACTCTGCCCCCACATCCCTCATAGACTCGCTCCACATCCCTTGGAGGTGCTTTTTCTCTCCCCATCCCCACCCCCACTTTCAAGCCCCAACTTACACAGAGGCAGGAAGCACTGGATGCCATGTTTGCAATCAAAGGAGCAGACACAGGAGGCTGAGGAAAAGGACTTGTGTCCAGCTTATATAAGACCTGAGTTGGAAATCCCCGGCCTGAACCACTGTGCCTGTGCCCTTTGTTTTCATGATGTCGTGAATTTTCTTTCACTTTCACTAGGGCAGAGTCAATAAACAAGAATACTCTCTGATCAAACACATTCCTCTGTTCAGAACCTCCCCGGTTAACAACCCACCACTCCCAGTCCTGACTTATGACTGCCCAGCATGGGCCCCTGGGCCCTTACCCACTTCAAGACCTTTACTACTTGATGGTGATCTCTTGCTGCTTTCGAGAGAGGACCCGCCCCATGCCATCACTCAGGGGCCTTCCTGAGAGCAAGGGTGCCCAGGAGAGGATGTAGGAGTCCATGAGGAGTGATGAAACTGTGAGCAGACAGTTCACACCAGCCGGGCAGAGTGGGAGGCATGACTCGAGATCACACAGGATACACAGCCTGCTCTGAGAGGAGATGGGAGTTCAAGTCCCGGGGTGCCACTTGCTACCTTAAGTTGTGCAAGTCTGTTCAACTCCTTAGATGTTTGTTTTCCGGTCTGAACATGAGATGATTGGAGAGAATTCAGAAAACAGCTTGTAAAATGGACCTTACATTCCTGGGTGTTGAGCTCTCTAGCACTGTTCCTATCCTGTCACAGAACCTGCAAACCAAATCTGGTACTTAGAACAATCCTAGCCCAACAATCAAGTGCTAAGCCCACCTTCCATGTAGCAGAACAGCACACATCAGCTCTCACGCGACGGTGACTCTGTTTCCCACCTTCACTGCTGGACACTCGCTACTCCCTGCACTCTCACACACACCCATGATGCTCCTTCCTCCTTGGCTCTGGAGGTTTTGATCGGGACAAAAAAGGGAGGGCACAGGCTGTGTGCCCTCAGCAAGTTTACTTGACTACTCTGATCCTCCTAACATTCCAAAGGAATCACTGCCCTCTCCCAAACTCTCAGGACAATGCCACAAAACACAATCTCAAAAAAGCCTTTAAGAAAGGTACTCCCAATTTTTTCAAAGTAAAAATCCCATAAAAATGTCATTATCATCTTTTTTGCTGTGTTCTTAGTGACCATTTACTGTACCTTCAGCACCAATAGGTGTCAAATGATCCCATTTTACTGCAGGACTCTCCATCCTAGAGAACTTGGGTTTATAAAAGTGCCTATATAGAGTAATGGGATCCAAGAACCAATCCAGTATTTCAAAAAAAAACTCAACATAAATCAGGTTCTTCTATTAGAAGCTCTTATTAGATAGCCATAAACTTGGAAAATTATTATTTAGATGTATTTTGTGGGGTAGACATACTTTTCAAGCACACAGGACGGGTGTGAAGGGGGAAGAGTGCCTGATGGAACAGCCTGGAAACAGTGGGCCCTGCCAGTCTCCCTTCAGATGCCTCTCTGGGTTCCTATCATCCCCTGCGTGCAGAAACCAAGATTGTGATCTTGGATGCAAATTATTTACCCTCCCTGAAGCTTAGTACTTTCTTCTGTAACTTGGAGGTTTCACTCAGGATTAGGCTGTGTTACCATTAACAAACATGTGAAAAGACATGGCTTTACAAGGACAGAAGTATATTTCACTCCACGTCAAAACCCATAGGTAGATGATTCAGAGTCAGTATGGTAGTTCGCCCCCAAAAAAACTCAGGGCCATGCTCCTTGGAACTCTGCTATTCTTAGCATACAGCTTATATGGTTACGGTCCAAATGGTCATCAGCAGTCGTGCTCTGCTCTCATCTATGCATTGAGCGGATCCATCATGAACCAAGGTCAGCTTCTTTTCATTCCATCATTGTGTCATAAGGTACACCTCCCTCCAAGGCAGATTAAAGGTAGTTACAAACTCTAGGACAATCCTCCCACCAAGGGAGTCTATTCCCATTCCTCTCGAGTCTAGGTTGGGCTATGACTGTGTTACGAGAACTGGCTGTCCCACCCTGGTCTCTTACAGCCCTGAGTCATCATGTAAGAAGTTTGACTACCATGTCTGAGGGACCACGTGGGGAGGTCCTAAGAGAACAGGTGGATGGAAAGGAATCCAGAAGAACTGAGACTTACGATTGACAAATCAAGGTACTAAGCATAGGAATAAAGCTTTCTTTGATGCTCTAGAGCAGTCCATTTACCGCTTGCACCCCTCCAAGTGATCCCTGCTGATGCTACATGGAACAAAAGAAACACCAGCCAAACTTCCCCTGTATCTGGCTCACAACATTATGAGATACCATTAAATAGTTGTTGGCTTAAGTCACCAATTTTGGGTACAATTGGTTATGCAGCAGTAGGTAACTTGGAGCACCCCCAGTGCAGCCACTGGTGTGAGTAAATGGAGAGGTAGAAGCAAGAATGTGGATGGCGTGGAGAGCTGAACCACTTGCTCAAAGGCCTCGTGCGGCACTCGGTTTTGCTCATTCTTGATCTGGGACATTGTATTTCTATCTTATGGTAATGAAAGCTGTAACTCCTGACCTTATCCCTTGATTGGTTTGATAGAACCCAGCTCATGATGGGCAGTTCCTGACGACCCCATGGACATTTGATGTCCCATGTCTGGAGTCCTGTCTCTACTAAAGCCCAGTAGCAAGCCAGGAGCTATCGCCTAATAGGATACACTTCTTTGCAGTAGATAGCATGGCTTGATCAGGAACCCAGGGGTTTGTGTTGTGACTCTCCTTTGGGGGCTTACCAGCAGGAACACCACTCTGAATCTTTTCCCACCACGGCGACCTCTACAGCCTGACGATCTGTTGGATGTGGTGGAGCTACTACAGAGCCCCGTTCTGTTCTGGGCTCCAGTCAATCACTGGAAATAGTCTCATAAATGTAAACATGTTGCCTCTAGAATAAAAGGATGATGAGGCATTAGTGGTGTTACCCTTAACTGTGTTAAATATGACAAGGAATAATCTGTCCTTTACTTTAGAGGCATGACCTGGCATGCTCCAGACCACTGGCCCTCTAGAAACTTCAGGGATGTGGAGGGCCTTGAATGTTCACAGGGTTCTCTCTCCCACTCTTGGGAGTACATTTATCTTATCAATACCACCAACATATTCACCAATTCTGGCTCATCCTGCTTGAATAATTATATATCATCAATATGATGGAACCAAGTGAGGTTTCGTGGAATGTACAGAAGGCCCATGTCCAGAGGGTACTGGAACTGCCTCATATTGTCTCATGAAAGGGGCACCTGGGTGCCTCAGTGGGTTAAGCATCTGACTTCAGCTCAGGTCATGATCTCAGGGTCCTGGGATGGCACCCCTTGTTGGGCTCCCTGCTCGGTGGTGAATCTGCTTCTCCCTCTCCCTCTGCCACTCCCTCCCCACCTCCCCACCCCCCCATGCTCTCTCTCTGATAAATAAATAAAATCTTTGAAAAAACATATCATGAGAGCTGTTAGATTTTCAGGCATTTTGCAAACCAGTTGTTAAATACAGCCATTAAAAATAATCATTATAAATTTATAAGTTATATTAAAAGCAGAGATAATATTTAAAACTCACCATTTCCTAGTTATTTTACTATATTCTGTGATTTTTTTTTTACTTTTATTTGCATTTATTTTATGCAGAATTTACTCCCAGGCCATAAATTTTTGTTTCTTCAGTTTCTTCTGGGATATCTTTTTCTTCTGTGCAACCTCCCCTTCTGGTTTAGGAACAATATGCTCTTTCTCGGTAAGGATCATCTCAGTGTGGCAGGGATAGCTCACGTGTGGGTGAATCTGACTTTGAACCAGGTAATCTCTGTCTCATCTTGGCGGCTTTGCTCACCTGGATGTGCTCAATGACCAGAGAATCTACATCTAAACTCTTAAGCTCAGCATTACTCTCTGCATTTTTAAGCATGTGCAATAAAATTCAGCACTCTTTTTGGGCCACCAGCCCTGTGTCCAGCCCCACTGTTTGGCCAGGGCACACCTCCCAACTCCACCGTTGTAGCCAGGGAGTGGCGCACGCTGCTTCTGCAATGTGACATCCTTCAGATACTTGGTGGCTTTCCAGATATGCATATTCTTGATGGCGTGGGCAGTTTCAGGTGTGTTCCTAAAGTGAACACAAAGATTCGAACCTCTTGATTGGCATGATTTTGTAGGATTTTCTGGGCCAAGTGAATAGTGAACTATTTTCAGAGATCACCTCAGGCTGCTTATGGGAAGAGCTATATTTTATGCTAAACTGTGCTTATTGACATCTATTGTGTCTATATGATAAAAAAAATACTATAATATACTGCATGGGGGTGTGTTACCACGTACAGCTCTCCAAATCTGCATTTTCAGTAAAGTCACACTGGCAGCTTAAAATTGGGTGTGGTAGAAATATTCACTCTACAGAAATCAGCAAATAGGACAAACCACACTTTTCTGACTGTAGTACCAGCACATGCTGTCCACGTCCCTTTGGACCATGTTATGATGCCAGAGTTATGATATAGTAACATAAATGTACAGTTGTACACACACCATGTAGATGCAAACTGCTTCTCGTCCTCCAAACTGATAGGATTTGAAAACACATTCACCAGTACCCAAGAGCCATGTAACCGAGCCCCAAACCACCGTTAATCAGGCATGAAAGCTGCAGTTAGGACAACTACCTGGTTGCATTTCTGGTGGCTCATTGTCTTCTTCCAGAATCTGGTCTGGTGTTTGTAGTGACCAGAGTGGTCAATGAAGTGGAGAGGATAGGAACAACCACCTCCTGCATCAATCTCCACCATTTCCTTTGGATTGTGATATTGCTCTGGACTTAGTGTCTTTGTGGAGAAGGGAGTACAGATTTGGGACTCCCACTCAGCATCCTCCTACCATATCACTTACTCCACTGGCCCAAGAACCAATGTGGGGATTCTGCCAAACACCAGGTGTATGCATTCCAAGTACACATTCAGGAACTGTAAAAATGACTACTAGGTAGGTCCATGGACCTCACAGAGCCACTGTGATTTGGACCAGGGCCAGGGTGCCATTGATTAGCTGACCCCATGAGCCCCTACTGCAATGGAGGACAGGCATGTTAATGACTCAGCTATGTTGTATGAGCCTTAGA